GGACACCTGGAGCTTAAGACTGGGGTTGAGGGCAGTGCAGCTATTCTAAGTTACAGGTCATTCTCAAACCAGTGCCAAGTCTGAATAAATTCTGTGTTCTTTTTTTTTTTTTAATATTTATTTTTTAGTTTTAGGTAGATACAATATCTTTATTTCACATTTATGTGGTGCTGAGGATCAAACCCAGTGCCTCATACACGCTAGATGAGCAATCTACCACTGAGCCACAACCCCAGCCCAGCCGCAAATTATTATTTCAATTTCCAGGAACAACAACAACAAAAAGCACCAGTCAGTAAGAATAAACAAAGAATAATATAGTCTATTGGCTCCCCCCACCCCCGCTTTTTTTTTTGGTATCAAGGATTGAACTCAGGGGCACTTAAATACTGAGTCATGTCCCCAGCACTTTTTATTTTTTCTTTTGAGACAGGGTCTCATTAAGTGGCTTAGGGCTTCACTAAGCTGCTGAAGCTGGTTTTGAACTTGTGATCCTCCTGCCTCAGCCTCCTAAGTTGTTGGAATTACAGGCATGTGCCACTGTACCTGGCCTGTTGGCCCTTTTTAATTGAATGTTGTTAAATATTCTATTTCAGAGGCAAGGGCCTTCTGTTTTCTCCATATAAGAGCAGATCTGCCTCCCTGTGATTACTGAAGGAATTCCCATCTACCTGTTGAGCCACCTCAGGCTTGGGCCCAAGTTCTAGGAGACGGCGAGCAAAAGTGGCAGCAGTTTTGAAGTTCTTGAGCTTGAAGAAAAGGTTGAGGGCTGTACGTAGCACTAGGATCATGTGCACAGGCTGCAGGTTTGAGTGGGTGAAATAGGCTGCCATCTGGTGGACAGAAAGAGGAAAGATGGCTACAGTTGGGGTAGGTCATTTATAAAGTGATATGCAGGCATAAAAAAACCCACAAGCCAATAGAACTGGCTATAAAACAAAGAGGCCTTTTCTCTACTAGAAATGGAAGACTTATGAGATGAGAAAATACAGTGGAGAAATGGAGACTATTCCCACAAAATGGACCCCAATTACTCTTCCTCCCCAGAGCCAGATCTGCCTTTGGAACAGAAGAATTTAGCCTAATGGAGGGTGAAGGGGAGGACTCCCCTGCAGAAAACAGAGTTCTACAGATCTCACCTCACAGATGCGTTTCTGCTGGTCTAGACTTTCTTTGGGCAGCTTTTTCCTTTCTATCTCCATGGACAAGCCCACAATGTACTCACGACAAATGGTGATGAGCTGCTGGGCCTGGTGAGGTTGCAGAAGAAGGTCATGATACAGAAACAAGAATATGGCAGTGCCTAAGTCTGGGACAAGAGGTTAGACGCCTCCTACCTCTGCAATTTCTTGTTTATTGTCCACAACAAGAAGTGGCACACTGAGAAGGATGGAACGGAATTTTTCCACAGCCTCCTCAAACTTGCCAACTGTGGTGAGCTGGTAGCACAGCTGCAAACGTTGGATGAGGTCATTAAGCTTTAGGCCCACAGCTGGCACACCATTCTTCAGCCCGGCATCCTTCCTGGAAAGGGAAAAGTAGGGGGAAAAAAAAGGAGAGTCAGCAGCCAACTAAGATTCAACTTCTTTTTCTGGCAAACAATCACAGCTACCCTACTGTGAAAGTAGCTAGGGAACTGGATGGCAGCAGGTGTAAATCTAACTCCTCAGAGTAAAAAGCCAATGATCTTTTCCTACTACAAAACCCTAGTTCGGGGACAATTCTGACTATGTCACTGAGGCTACAATCTGAAACCTCTACCCCAGCTTGGAAGATAGAAGCAAGGAGCAGGAAGCCTTACCAATTGCGATTAGGGTAGCCATACATGGAGGGCAAGCAGGGCAGAGCCTGATAGGTGGTACGACCTCGGGCATAGGTCTGTAGGAACAGTTGCTTGTAGGGACCAAATTGAATTACCCCTACCTGGTCATGAAGGAGCTAGAACACAGAGAAAGGGAAAGAATCACAATTTAAGGCCTTACCCTTAAAAACTAATTGACCTTGGGCAAGGTAATTAACTATTTATTTATTTATGCATTACAATTCTTATACATCATTATATCATAATTTATCTATCTCTGATTATACATAAGGTATGTTGACACCAAATTCACATCTTCATACATATATTGTGTATAGTGATGAGGGTCTCCTTTCACTATCCATGCTATTCCCCTTCTCCTTCCCATTCCCTCCCACCCCTATTCCCTAAGTAATTAACTTGTCTATACTTGTTTTCAGTAAAATACACTTAATTGTAAGGATCTACTTATTTAATAATATCTATCAAGTATTTAGCATAGTGCTTTGCCCACAGTGTACAGTGAAAAAATGTTAGTGATTGTTACAGTTATTATTACTGTTATAACACATGGCTTAGTGTTCAAAACATACACCTGTTCAGGAAGGGATGCTGATCTCACTAACGTGAGCCAGAAAACAAGGTATAAAGGAGTGAAAATGGCTAGAAGGGTCAACCTTATAAGATTACTAGGCCAGGAGGAAAGCAGGTAAGAGGAAGGTCTTAAAAGGCAAGTTCCTTAAGCAAGATCAAGAGCATTCATGATAAATACACACCTCTGTCTTTGTGAGTCAGATCATTGCCGTCTGGTTAAAAAAAATGAGTCAACCTTCTCCCTGAGCCCCTGGGCTAAAGTATACTCAAGAGAAAAGGCCAAGGTTACTTTAAGAAGACTTACCCGCATGGCTGTTTCAAAAGAGCCTGCCAGGATGTGATCAACTGGAAGCTGAGAGTTATTGCACCAGATCTAACAAGAAGCAGAAAAGCCAATCCAAGTGAAATTTTGCCTTTTTTCTTCGCAAAGTATCCTCCTCCATATGTATTAAAAGAAAAGTATTTAGCTGGGTGCAGTGGCACGTGCCTATAATCCCTGTGACTCAGGAGGCTGAGGCAGGAGGATCATAAGTTCAAAGCCAGCCTCAGCAACTAAGCAAGGCCCTATGCAAATCAGTAAGGCTCTGTCTCTAAATAAAATATAAAAAGGGCTGTGGATGTGGCTCAGTAGTTAAGCCCCCTGGGTTCAATCCCTGGTACAAAAAAAAAGTATCCAATACTTTCCCCACACTAATCCATTATTAACCATCACAGAAACACTCATCCCATGGGGCTGTGCTTGCTTTCCTTCTTACTTGAGTTGGGCTTGTTCCCTTAGTTGGGGGCACAAAGAACCCATCTTCAGCCCCACCACTTGCTCCAGGGGGTACATCCTAAAGGAAAAACAAAGTCATTTTTAAGCCATTCAAGCACTTCATTCTTTGAATCTAAAACACTTATTTCCTACCTCTATTGGTGAGAGGGAGTGGCATTTGTGGGAGGAGACCCCTATAATAGGAGTCATATCACCAGGAATGAAATGACATACCTACCAGAAGTCCCAATTTAGACTTTGAAAACTTGCTGCCCTTTTCATAAGCTGCTGCTGGCACAACCCTGATTATTCTTTCTCTTAAATGGGAGATAAGTATCAAATTAGAGATAGGTCCTTCCTCTTTAAGGACAAATGAAAGTGATAAGCCCACTAACTCAAGACTCTCATTCTTCCTTCTTTCAAATGGAAGATAAGCATCAGACTAGGAGGCCCATCTAGACCCCTACCTTTTGGAGACCTCAGGGCAGGTGTGTGTAGCGGGGGTGTGGTAAGGCCACTGGCTGCCACAGGGAGAAATGCAGAGGGTAAGAATTCCACATACCAGCTCAGGGGGGAGCTCCAGATCTTCTTCTACATCCCAGCCACCTCCTTCTTCCTGTCCTTTGCCAAGAGCATCATCCCCCAAACCTTCTGTAGCCTCCACAAACCCATCTGTAAGGAAAATCCAGATCAAAATAGATTTGGGTATTGATATAATCTTAGCCAAAAGAAAGCAACATGTGGCCGGGCGCCTGTGATCCCAGAGGCTTGGGAAGCTGAGGCAGGAGGATTGCAAGTTCAAAGCCAGTCTCAGCAATGGCGAAGCACTTAGCAAATCAATGAGACCCTGTCTCTAAATAAAATACAAAATATGGATGAGGATATGGCTGAGTGGCCGAGTTCAATCCCTGGTACCAAAAAAAAAAAAAAAGAAAGCAACATGATGGGATCCTAGCAGGCTCCATGGTTTGGAAGCCTAAAGAAGTGCTCTCCACAACTAGTCCCAATGCAGGGAGTCCATCTCCCCATACATACCTTCATCCAGCTGCAGTTCAGCATCCTCTCCCCAGCCCTCTGTGCCAACAGTGTCAATGTCAATGTCAGCTGCCAGTGCTCCTCCCTTCCCTACCAAGGGAAGGAATAGAAATGAGCTGGTTAGAGCCCAGCAAAGTCTGAAATACGGTCTTCTCTGTAGGCAAGTTGCATCCTTTCAAAAATAGTTGCCTAGGTCTTATCTGTTTATTATTTTCATATACTGTTTATTTTTGTGGTATATATGTTGTGCTAATTTGTAATAGGTTTCACAGAGAGAGGGAACAAAAGAGATAACCAGACTTACTGCTACCACAAACTGGCTCTTCCTGCTTACCAGTCTTTGGCTGCCAACTCTTGGAATTTCTTCTTGAGATCTTTGCTAAGTTATCAATGTAGTGTATGCAAAGCATGAGGTCACAGGGTAGGTGGAGAAGATAGAAAAAGGATCAGGGCTGTGCAAAAAATGCACACAGGCTTTTTAGGATCTTATTAGAAGTGACTAGTATGTGTATCCAAGAAAATAGGAGGAGGTAAGGGAGGCAGTGGTAGACGTAGAGAATGGTAGTATATATATACCCACTGGACATAATTAGAGGTAGCTGAATTTGTACTTCAGGACTGCATGTCATAAACGATAAAATATAAACAGACAATATGACTATATATATATGGTAAAACCTAGTGAATATACCAAAATATTTATAAAGGTTACTAGTGGTAGTAGAGGCATCCCTTCTTTCTCTTCTCAACTCCTTTTTATTTTTACTGATCTCAAAAAGCCTTTGTTCATGGGGCTGGGTGTGTAGATCAGTGATTGAACACTTGCCTAGCACGTGTCAGGTCCTGGGTTCAATTCCCATTTCCCAAGCCCCCCGCAACACCTGACTAGCAAAAAAAAAAAAAAAAAAAAAAAAAAAAAAAAAAAAAAAAAAGCCGCTGTTCAGTTTTTTAAGACCATAGCTCTGACTGGCATTTCAGTGCTCCATGAGGCTTCATACATACAAAGGACAGATGAAACTAAGTGTTAATGGTACTCTCTAGGACAGTTCTTACAAAACAACAGAAGTGCCATGGAAGAAATGGGCACTGACCCTTGCTGGCAATGGAGCCTTCAAAGAAGCCTTTTGACACAGTCAATAATGGCCAATTGGTATCCAATGGCATGATAGGTGCAGGTGGCTGGAGCAGCTTGGCATTAGGGTCAATGTCTGGGATCTGAGAGGTGGAAAAAGAAAAGAGGTTAAACACAAGAACAGCTCTCAGGAATCTTGTAGAAAAGGTTATTTGAGCTCATGTATTTCTCTGTCTTTCTCTGTAACCAGGTGGGAAGAATAAAATTTATAGTTTTAAATTGTTCCTAGATCTGAGTTAATCCTATATTCAGAGACACTCATGAAAATAAAGACTCACTGTCTCCTTCTCTGGGTCAAATGTCTCTTTCAGGCTCTCAGCTTCTTCATCTAAGCCATGGGTAGCAGCTGTGAGATAGGCCAGGGACTCTGTAGAAGAAAACAGTTTGTGTTCTAGGCACATTTCCAAGTGAATGTGGTAGACTGAGATGATCTTCCAGTGATCCCTATCTTCTGGTATTCAAGTGCTTGCATAATATCCTCCCCCATTTAATTGAAAGCTACTAGCTACTAAAAGACAGAATATGGCAGAAGTGATGGGATATAATTTCCAAGATTAGTTTATGACTCCCCCCTCCCCAGAGAACTGGGGATTAAATCCAGGGGTGCTCTACCACTGAGTTATGACACCAGTCCCTTTTTACTTTGAGACATGGTCTTACTAAGTTGTCCAGGTCTTAAACTTTCAATCATCCTGCCTCAGATTTGAGTCACTGGGATTACAGGCCTGTGCCACTGTTCTTGGCTGTGGCTTCTATCCAGAGTACTTCTTGCTCTGAAGGAAACTTTGAAGGAAACCAGTTGCCATGTTGTGAACTGCCCCATTAAGAAGCCAATATGGGGGCTGGGAATGTGGCTCAAGCGGTAACGCGCACAACTGGCATGCGTGGGGCACTGGGTTTGATCCTCAGCACCACATAAAAATAAAACAAAGATGTTGTGTCCACCGAAAACTGAAAAATAAATATTAAAAAATTCTCTCTTAAAAAAAAAAGCCAATATGGCAAGGAAATGATGTCTCCTGGACAGCAGAGAAAGGACCTGAGGAATACCAACACCCATGATAGAAGTGGAATTAGGAGAATTCAATCTTGAATATAGACTTCGGATAGACAATGAGCAAGAGCTAAGCCATTCTCCAAACAGTGAGGTAATGAATCTTTGTTGTTTTAAACTACAAATTAAATGCTTGAGACCAGAAGTGTTTCAAAGATTTTCCCCTTTTCAGATTTTGGAATATTGCAGACTTTACTGGTTAATTATCCCTAATCCAGAAATCTGAAACATAAAATGTTTCAAAATCTAAAAATTTTTGACTACCATGTTGGTACCAAGAAGTTTTGGATTTTGGAACATTTTGGATTAGGAATGCTCAGTCTGTACCAGGTTTTAGGTAGATCTATTTGCACATTGATTAATTGGTAATGAATATAGTTACTTATTTTTAAGATAAATCATTAGTGTTCATGACAACCTTGGGTCCTATCATGTCCTACATCTAGCACTTTAACAAGTCATATTGGTTCTATTTTCAAAATAAATCCCAACCTGGGCACGGTGGTACGGCCCTGTAATCCCCAAGACTGGGGAGGCTGAGGCAGAAAGATTGGGTGTTCAAAGGCAGCCTCAGCAACTTAGCAAGGCCCTATGCAATTTACTGAGACCTTGCTTCAAAATAAAAAATAAAAAGGGCTAAGAATGTGGCTCAGTGGTTAAGTGTCCCAGGGTTCAATACCTGTTACCAAAAACAAAACAAAACCAGAAAAACCAAAATCCTGAATCTGACCATTGCTTATTCCTCCACTAGTTAGTATATTGATCAAACCATAATTTTCACTTTTTTTCTTCCCTAATATATCTCAAACAGTGAATTTTAAACAACAACAACAAAGAAGCCTTAAATGCACACATGGATAAATAATGAGTGAAATCTCTACACTGGAAACAAAGGAATTCTAATGACATCCAACCAATTGCATTTTCTAGGGTGTCTGCTCTGAGACTTTAAGGTATTTAAATGAGAAAGCAATAAATTGTACTCTTGACATCACTAATGTCAATTGTTTGCCTCCTCCTCCTTCTTCTTCTTCTTTTTTTTTCTGTGGTGCTGTGGATTGAACCCCGGGCCTTGTGCTTGTGAGGCAGGCATTCTACCAACTAAGCTATATTCCCAGTCCAGCAGTGGGACTTTAAAACCACCTCTTTCACTGGGTATGGTTGTATACTCCTATAATTCCAGTGGCTTAGGAGGCTGAGGCAGGAGGATCACGAGTTCAAAGCCAGCCTCAGAAACTTAAGTGAGGCTCTAAGCAACTCAGTGATACCCTGTTTCTAAATAAAATATAAAAAAGGGTTGGGGATGTGACTCAGTGGTTGAATGCCCCTGGGTTAAATCCCTGGTACCAAAGAAACAAAAATTAAAATAAATAAATAAAACCACTCCTTTCCCATGACCATTTTCCCAAGGATGTCAGCCAGACTGAATATTCTGGACACATTTCAAATTTGGCTTTGAGAAAATCTTCTGAGCATGGTATACATGTTTCTATTGAAAAAAAGATAAAATAATAATAGAGGGCAATTCCTTACCCCTACACATGAATAACTCAACTTGAACAGAAAACACTCCTAAGGCCCCAAAGAAACCTGGGAGTCTTGGATAGATACTTACTCTGCCCACAGTTTTTTAGGATCCGCACTCGCTCTGACACATCACCCAGGTATAGGGCATTCTGATAATGACCACTCATGTCCTTCCGAATTTCAGCTGCACCAAGTCAATAAGAGACACCAAGTTAGATATTTTCTCTCTTGTCTATTTGCCCTCCACTGTACCCCCCCTTCCCATCTTTCATTTTTAGGCCCTCACCAATCTTCATCATCTTGCGAAGTTTCTCCAGGTTGCCAGTGATAAGGTATAGGAAGGAAAGTTTATCAAAGTTTTTGGTGCGCTGATAGCACATTTCCACAATCTGGTGGTTCCCTTGTAGCAGGGCCACTTCTCCTAGCTTTTCCCAGCAGTTTTTGTCATCCAGTGCTTTGGCTGCTTCCAGAGCAATCTAAAGACACTCAGGATCAGTGTTAACAGGGTACTTTGAAGGATGCTATGACTCAAAACCAAGGACTTAGCAATCAAAGCATTTGCTGAAATAAATTTCCTAAGGAACTTCCTTTATTTTTAAGTACTCCTGGCTTTCACTGTATTTTTTTTTTTTAATTGAGAATCCTATCTATAAATAGGATCTTTGGATTCGTGAATAGAAGAAATCACAGTATATTATTCTCATCCTCAGAAATTTGCTTTTATGTCAGGTGTGGTGGCACACACCTATAGTCCCAGTGGCTTGGGAGGTTGAGGCAGGAGGACCACGAGTTCAAAGTCAGCCTCAGCAAGATTCTGTCTCAAAATAAAATATATAAAAAAAAGGGCTGGGGATGTGGCTCAGTGGTTAAGTGCCTTTGAGTTCAAACCCCAGCACCCCACCCCATGTACACATGGAAAAAAAAGAAAAAAGAAAAAAGAAATTAGCCTTTACAACAGAATCACTTAGCAGCTGCTGATTCCACAGGGCCAGTTCTTGCTTAGCTATCTTATTTTCTATCTGCCAGATTTGAAGAGCCACAGAGGCTTCAAGAAAGGCAGAAGATATAATAAAAGAAGGAAGTACAGAACTGGATAAACAAGTCTCCTAAGCTCTCTTCTCCTTTGCAAATAATACCTGTACCCTTTGTACCTCAATAAGTAATAAGCACTCTGTTGTCTAAACAAGATCAAGTGTCAAGGAAATAATGAGATATATGAAATTTCATGTAATCTTGCTTTTATCCTAGAAATTAGTGAATTCAGACTAAGAATAAAAATATGGTAAATAAAAGTAGAAATAGGCAAACAGCAACAAGAAGATGGTTTAATATAATAACTAAAAAATTCTATCATTGTAGTTTAAGATGCAAGTTCGAAATAATACCCCACCCCCTGCCCCCAACCCTTTCACCTTCTCTAAAAGTGATCTGGGGCCGAATATCTATATTCCTCTCACCTCAATGTTTCCACACTCCAGTGCCAAACTAAAGCGAGTTTTCTCATCCTTGACGAAATGCAGTGCCACTTCAGGATAGCCCTTCTTCTGAAGATAAGCAATGATAGACTGGCCAACTAGTTTGGCATTCCTCACCATATGTAGTACCTAGACATTTGGAGTTGGGTAGAGTAGGAAGTAGAGATTACTTACAACAAAAAAGGAATGTTGCCCCTCTTGATACCTCTAGTATGCTTCCTCACTCCATACCTCATCATATTTTCTGTTGATCAGGGCCAGTTTGAATTTGAATTCAGTGGGATCAATGGTGAGTACCCGAGGACGACACTCTCTATCTAGGCAATATACATTGTTGCCCTTTACTCGTGTGACATAGATGGGTAAATCCAGAGTTCGGATGATTCCGTGGTCCCTAAGAATAGGGAGTAGAGATTGCAACTATGAGTAAGTGAGGGAAAAATCTAGCCTGTGAAAAAATGAACAAGCCAAGGGCACATCCTTTTGGGGGTGGGGGACACTGGGGATTGAATCCAGGGGAGTTTAACTTCAGAGACAAATCCCCAGCTCTTTGTATATATTTATGCTTATATAATATCTGTACACTACAAGTTCATCCTTAGGGGGCTGATGAAGCAACTCAGTTGGCAGAGTACTTGCCTAGCATGTGCAAGGCCCTGAGTTCAACCCCCAGTACCACTTCAAAATAAACAAACAACAACAAAACAATAAAAGTGCACCCTTAGAAAGCTTTATCAATGTAAAAAGCATTTGAAAGAAGAAACAAAACTGTCACTGCCCACAGATGCTGAGTATTCAAGAAAATAAAAAATAAATTAGAAATTAACAGGAGT